CCTAAGAGAATGAAGTTAGCCACTCATGTTGGTCATTACAATGCTCTAATTGATGAAGAAGTGAAGAATTGATGAAGATTAGACAAAACCTTAACAGTAGTCGTGCCTCCTCTCCTCCAAGACTGATTGCTTTTCTCAAAACACAACTTATCTTTTTATAAGAGAATTTGGGTCGGGCATCGCATCATTCATTCGCTTAAGCGCTCTTCTTTCTTTCAATTTTACTCCAATTATGCTGACAATTATGCTCCTTACTCTTGTATCAAGGTATTCTCGAATTCATCTTATATTGGGAGAAAAATATATTAGAATTAACATAAGTTAAGTGGTTTCATAACAATTCAAGGCATAATTATATCAACTTTTTACCACTTAACAAGTTTGCATCATTTTGCAAGAATAATATTTTGCACGAGATTATACCCTCATACACACCACAACATAATGAAGTTGCAAAGAGAAGAAATTGAACAATTTTAACTATGGTCAGAAGTATGTTGAAGACCAAAGGTATGCCACATTTGTTTTAGGTAGAAGTGGTATTGACAACAGTATACATTTTAAATCGATGTCCAACAAAAAGAGTGAAGGAGAAAACTCAAGAAGAAGTACGGTTTGGGAGAAAGTTAAATATAAAACAGTTGAGAATATTTGACTCAATTGCTTGGAGACATGTTCTAGATGTGAGGAGGAAAAAACTCGATGATAGAAGTCATAAGTTGATTTTGGTATGATATCATGCAACTGGTACATATAAGTTGTATGATCCTATGAAGAAGAAAATTATCATTAGTAGAGATGTTGTTCTTTATGAGAAAGATTGTTGGAAATGGTGTTCAATGGTGGAAAATCGAAGTGTTAGCTTCGATGACACAGGTGATGCAAAAATCAAAGGCAATGATTGATCGACTTCTAATGTCAAAGGAGGTGCAAATCAATCGATATTAGAAATCAAAGAAGACAAAAATAGATCAGTTTCTAAAATTAAAGGGAGGAGAAATTGATCAATTAGATTGATTAAGACACTAGCGAAACTCAATGATTATGCGATTAATATTGATGATACTGTCACAACATCTGGACAGATGATTGGAGAAACAGAAGACGAGAATGATCTTGTACACCTAGCATTGTATGCTAATGTTGAGTCTGAACTAGTTTGCTTTGAAGAAGCAATCAAGGATCCCAAGTGGATCATAGTCATGAAAGAGAAATTGTTGGCAATCGAGAAGAATAAAACATGAGAATTATCCCAGAGAATTAAAGGCCAATTGGAGTAAAATGGATATACAAAATGAAGTTGAAACCAGACGGAACAGTTACAAGACATAAAACTAGACTTGTGGTGAAAGGGTTTCTACAGAGAGAAGGTTTAGACTATGAAGAAGTGTATGCACATTTTATCAGGATGGAGACGATAAGAACAATTATAGCTCTCGCCAGCTATAAAGGGTGGCAGATGCATTAAATGGATGTAAAATCTGCACTTTTGAATGACAAACTAGATGAACAAGTTTATGTTACACAACCACCAGAGTTTGTGATTATTGGAGAAGAATGGAAGGTTGTTAGATTGAAGAAGACGTTGTATAGCTTGAAACACGCGCCCAAGAGCCTAGAACACTAAAATAAACGGTTTTCTTCGATAACAAAGATTCTTGAATTGTGAAGTCGAGTATGAGATTTACTCGAAGATCGAAGGAGATGATGTGTTAATTATTACTTATATGTCGATGATTTGTTTATTGCAGGTAGTAAAATTACTTCGATCTATAATTTTAAAAAGAGGAAACAAGATCAGTTTGAGATGAGCAATCTAGGGAAGCTGTCATATTTCCTGGAAATGGAATTCATCGAAGGCAAGAAAGGTATTTTGATTCACCAAAGTAAATATGCCAAAGAAGTACTCAAGAAATTTATGATGAGTGAGTATAGTGTGACAATTACACCAATCGAGTCAAATGTGAAACTTGACAAAGATGAAAATGAGGAGTCTATAAATGTTACTATTTATAGACAAACGTTAGTTGCTTAAGATACTTATATTGTAGTAGACCGAATATCTATTTTGATGTTGGATTACTGAGTAAATTTATGGAGAAACTCAACATCTCAGCTTGTAGTAGCTAAGAGAATTTTGAAATATATTAAAAGGACAATTGATTTTGATATTCTGTTACCAAATGTTATACATTAGAATGAAGAAGAGTTGGTTGAATATTCTAATTCTGACTGGGTTGGAGATAAAGTTGGTTTTAGAAGCACATCGATTTTTGTATTCATATTGGGAAAATCACCCATTTCATGGTGCTCGAAGTTACAACCTACTGTATCACTCTTCTCTTGTGAAGTTGAATACATGGTTACTACTTACACAACTTGTCAAACATTGTAGATCGAAAATTTGGTGAATCGAGTCCTTGAAATACTTGAGAAGATTAGGGCATTGAAGATTGACAATAAGGCGAGTCATAAATTTAACGAAAATATAATTCATCGTGGGAGAAACAAACATTTCGGATTGAGATTTCACTTCATCTAGACAGAGAATGTTAAGACTTAAGCTACGAATGAGCAATTGGATAACATTATAACGAAACGTTTAGATAATCGAAAACTTGAAGAATTAAGAAAAAATTAAATATTAAATTGATTGCTAAATTAAGAGATTATGTTAAATAATATTTCAATAATTATATTATAATGTTTGTTTTGATTAGATTTTTTAGCTTAACAAACTTCTGTTACTGATACAAATATTGTATTTCTATAATATTTTATTTCTATAATATTTATATAATATAATTGTATAATTCAATATACCTCATTCTCTTCTCTTGATATTCTTTATATTTTTGTTCTTATATCCTAACACATGTCACGGAGTTCATGATTTTTATATAAGAAAATGTTAATCAATGTTGTTAATTAAAAACCATTTCTATTTTATGAGAAAACTCACGGGGATTATCTTTACATTTTACTCATTGAACTGAGATAAATATGACAATAAAAGAAATATATTCTTTAATTAAAAACTTGATTTTTTTTATTAAAAGATTTATTCATTCGCTTCAACATATATTTTTAATACCGATATGATTTTTATCATTAATCGATGCATTGAAAAATCTTTTCCGGGATTAAAATTCATGTACACTTGTAATCTGCCAGCAATGCAAAGCTAATGAAATCGGGTCCAAATTTACTGCATGTTTGAGTGAGTGGTTGATGAAGTCTTGGATTTTTTTATTTTTTTTATGTGATGTTATTCAAAATAGCTTTAGGTTTGAACGTGGTGGATCGTCGTTTGATATGATTTCCTGTGAAATTAATTATTTCCTGTCTTCGAAATTATAATATATTGCTTGAATTGGTAAACAAAAAAAGTCAACATCTTCAAATTGTTGTTGTCACTTTTAATATCATCAAGCAACAGATTCAATTACCATTTATGTTAGACACATGAAAAATGAAAATAAAAATAAAAAAGGATATATCTAACGTTAATTCAACTATAAAAAAAATATAATTATTTGACTATATTTGATTGCTTAATTAGAGCACGATATATGGTGGCTTAGGTAAAATGTTAATAATGTACTCATGTTAATCTTATATTGCTTAAGAAAACTATAGCTATGTCCTTAACGTCGTTTAAGAAAAAGTAAAGTCGTGATTAGTTCAAACTTCTCATATAACTACTTTTTTTTTATTCAAATAATATGGGGATATTTCACAAAACACGAAAAGGAAAAAAGAACAACATTGTAAAGTTGAAATCCCAAAACGAAAAAAACCAATGCATAAGAAATTAATTATTGACACTGAAATAATCCCAACGATATTCTCTTCAATAAAATATTCTGTTTAATAACCTTCAACGTGCCTTAATCTGAGTTTAAATTTGAATTTAATAAATAAATTAACTAGAATGCTGCTATATTTAAAAAAGGTTCGTATGAAAATAAATAAATCACCAAAACTATTACTTAAGCTTTAAGGTGAAGGCTAACGTTCATTGTCAATTTAGCGTACATAATCCCACTCAGCAGCGGGTTTCATCGACGCGCCAAAACACTTTCTTGCTATCACGCGCAAGGCAAAGAATACCGAATGCTATCGAAAATAGTGTCACGCTATTCGAAGTGCGACTGGTCGTGGCATTACTCTTGACAACTCGCGGTAACTGAAAAAATTCAGCATTCACGTTAATAAAACAATAACGAAGGAAAATAAGTTTTTGTTCTTAACATAGCAACGTGTAAATGAGGTTAGAATTATTTTTTATGTGGATACTAAGAAAGAGAACAAGAGAGATTCAGCCAATGATCCTCGTTCTCACTACCCATTTTCAATTTGTCCTAAAAAATTTCTTGGACCCAAAAATAATTTGTCTATCAATTTAGATTTCTATATTTTCATTCTGTAAAATATATAAAGAAAGAAATGCTTTTGTATTGCATCCTATAAATCCATGTAAAGTGAAGTCGCGACCTTCAAAACTTGCACCTTTCTTTGTTGGTTATCATTTTCTGTACTTATCTCTCTAAAATTCCAGAGTGAGAAAGGGGAGAGATCAAAGTGGTGCAACATCCAAATTGATTATGAATCTCTCCTTTGACGTTCCAGTTCATGTTCCTATTTCATCTTTGCTTTTTTTCTTTCTGGGATTTTTCTCGCTCCCCTCAATTTGATACACATTTTCACATTTCCTCTTTGCTTGTTCTTTGTTTGGCCTTAAATGTGCCACCCTACATGGTCATGAGCACCAAAAGTATATGAACGAAGTGGCGTTTGCTACGGGCTATGTTCATTGGATAAATGACTGACACAACATTTTTCCAGAATTGGCATCGTCTAGGAGGGTATAAGTTAAAACAATTCCACCTTGTGAATCTGTTATCTTTAAGGCTCATCATAATTTAGCTCCAAACGCACCTAATTAAAGTCTCAAAGACTTTTGTTTTAAATCGATTCAGAATTGTTTTCTATTGATCATGGGTTGTGCAAGTTCAAAGCAAAAGCGATGTCGGTGTTGCAATGCTCCGAGAAGCTATTCAATGCACGTTCATCACCCACCTCAAGCAGAAGGTGATAGCTACCATGTTGTGGCACTCACTTCCACAACACTGGGCACTCTCAAACTCAATTCCCCTGCTTCAACTCAAAGTTTTGCTGGGAATTGTGACCACGATTTTAATCTTTCCAATGGCAAGGTTAGTAACACTAAAAGTTTAAGGTTTGATAATGAAAGCTTTGTCCAAAGGCTGGAGCAGAAAGAGAAGAGTGAAGTATTTGAGAAAGAGAGCAAAGAAGAGTTCTCAATTGGGCTAATTGAGGCTAAGACTTGGTCCAACATGATTGAGCAAAAGTTGCCAAAAGTTTTTCCAAAGACCCCAATTAGAACACCACCTGGTGAGCCTGAGACAATCAACACATGGGAACTCATGGAAGACCTTGAAGACACCACCAATTTCCGGTCGCCAAGTCACTACCGGAGATTCTCTTTTGATGTCAATGGTGACAGTGTTGGTGTTGGTGTTGATGATGGAGATGTTGATGTTGATCCACCCAAAATGAGTATTGCGGCTTCTCCAAAACCCATGTGGCTTTTAATGACTGAGGAGGAATCAAGACTCAACTCTGCAATCTCGGATTTCGATCCTGAATTGATTTTCTCGTTCAGGAAGTCCTTACAACATCTCTCTCCGGATAGCCCATTCCACCTTCAACCGGGGTCGAGTGATAAAGAGATGCAAGGGACTAAAAAGGAGTCCCCATTTGAGGAAAAGACAACAACAGACGATGATGTTAATGTTGATGATCCATGCGGAAAGGATAAGGTGGTGTTGTACTTCACTAGCTTACGTGGTGTGCGAAAGACTTACGAGGATTGCTGCCAAGTGAGATTGATTCTGAAGGGATTGGGAGTGAGGATAGATGAGAGAGATGTATCCATGCATTCAAGGTTCAAGGAAGAGCTAAGAGAGCTATTGGGTGATGGGTATGGTGGTTTAGTATTGCCGAGGGTGTTTGTTGAGAATAATTGCATTGGTGGAGTTGAGGAAATTCAGAGGCTGCACGAGGATGGGAAGCTTGAGAAGCTTTTGGGTGGATGTGAGAAGATAGAGGACAGTGCTGGAGGTGATGGAGGGGGAGTGTGTGAGGCTTGTGGGGATATAAGGTTTATTCCCTGTGAAACCTGTTGTGGGAGTTGTAAAATTTACTATGATGGAAATGAAGATGAAGAAGAATATGTTGATGGTGAGGTGGGGGAGTGTGGATTCCAGCGATGCCCTGATTGCAATGAAAATGGACTAATTCGTTGTCCCATCTGTTGCTGTTAGTTTCCAAATTCCAGGTTTTATACTTCAGGGCACTTAGCACTTTGTGAAATTTGGTTGTACAGTCAAGTATTTTATATGCTAGATACTAGTGGGAAGTGAATAACTTGTTTCTAATCACTCCCTCATCATAATCAGTGTAGTTCGAAACATAAGTGTATACGGTTTTCGTTTTCCCTTCTGTACACAATTGCCGTCTTGCAAAGTGTAAAAGAAATGGAAGAGAGAATTACAAACTTATATAGTTGTGATCATATGCATTCTTCATAGGATATCCTTCTCTCTTTCAATTTCAAACACTAATGCAAAAAAGGCTTTTTATGTCGGTTAAAGAGGCGACATAGATACAGGAGTCATAGAAAGTATGACTTTTTACGTCGGTTGTGAACTTTTTACAAAAATTGTCACTGTTAGGATTTGAACCCAGTACATTAGAATCTAGAATTAGACCAACCACTACACTAGTACGATTTTTATTTATTTATTCATATTATATTTTTATTATACTTTATAATATATTATTTTATTATCTCGTTTAAGAGATTTGTGTCTAACAAGATTCGAACCCAGTACCTTAGAGTTGGAGACCGATACTCCAACCACTAAACTACTACAAATTTCTGATACATAACTTACAAATAAATTATATTTATATACAAAATATATAAATACAAATATATTTATATATTTTGATATATAAATATTTATATACTTATATATTTAATTTTTTTTATTTAATATACACTTTCTATGTCGGTTAAATTTCAACCGACATAGAAAGTACTTTTATGTCGGTTAAAAATTTAACCGACATAAAAAGTACTTTCTATGTCGGTTAAAATTTAACCGACATAAAAAGTTCACTTTCTATGTCGGGTAAAACTTTTTCTATGTCGGGTAAATTATAACCGACATAGAAAGTTCACTTTCTATGTCGGGTAAATTTTAACCGACATAGAAAGTGAACTTTCCACTTACTATGTCGGTTAAAATTTACCCGACATAGAAAGTTTATGATTTAATTACAAAATTGCCACTGCGCTACATACTATGACGGGTGGACTACGACCGTGATAAAAACTCGTCATAATGCTATTTTTCCACTAGTGAACGTGTGAAAGTTATTGCATCTGGGTCTTTTAAGCATTCTATATCAAGAGTTGAACCTGCCACAAGCTAATTGCAGAATGCATTTGAGGGTGTGGGGTATCTGAGCTGCATGCAATATTATGCTTGTAATATTATGCTATCAAATATTGACTTATTCTCCACAACCGCTGATGGTTATTACATCCTTTCAGTCCCTAATTTTACATTGGATTACAATTGATTGACTACTAATAGGTGAACTGTGACCAAATTTTTTTAAAACTCATTCTTTGCTTTGTTTGCTTCTTTTTTAATCGTTTTCCAAGCATCGTTCCACGTTTTTGTAAGATATAAAGTCAAGTTAAGTGGTAACTTCGAGAGAGACTTTTGTATTGAGTCAAATAATATTATTCTTTGGATAGAAAAGCACTATATTTATCCTTTCCAAAATAGTAATATATGATTCAGAAAGTGTTTTTACCATTTCAACCTCGTAGACAAGTTCTCTTATAAACCTACATATTCAAGTTTCTTTGATTATTTTTTAAAGAATAATCTTCGGGGAGATTAATATCAATTTCCGAAGAAAATCATGTTTGTTGATGAACTTTGTCACACATGTATGAAATCTGATAATCTATTCAAGAAAATGAAATTGTCTGGTAGATGGTCCAAAACTTAAAGCACCAAACTCCAATTATGAGTTCAGGTTTACCCCAGTATATTTGCAAGAGGCAGTTAAAATTGAAAAGGGTGATTTAGACATTCTTAGCTGATCATTGTGTACATGGCCAAGCCATAGGCACCCTATATTATGTGAAATAATTGCTATAATCCATAGGATTTACGAATAAAAATCCATGTGATGCCATTTACAAAACAATGCACCACTAAAGAACGTGTGAATCCTACAAATGATTTGTGCCAAACGAAGCAAAACTATTTCCCCCTTACCTACTACTACGTCCTTTTGATTACCATCTTATGTTAGTCTAATCAATGGGTCTTGATGCGAGAAAAGTTACATGTCCCTTGCCGTCCAATCAAGATCACAACACATTTAGGTGGTTAGAGGTAGATGAAAACTACAGTGCTGAAATTGTTGTAAATGCCAATAGCTTATTTATATTCAGGGCAGTGTTAGATAGAATACACAAGTCATACATTATTTTTTTCTTATGATTTCTGACCCAAAAATAGTTCTGACTTTAAAGGGATCAATGCATCATCAAGTAGGTACTATTTACAAAACTAGAATTAATAAAAATTAAAGAAAGAAACTGCACGCAATGGCGTCGCCCGGACTTGAACCGGAGACCTTCAGTGTGTTAGACTGACGTGATAACCAACTACACCACGACACCGATGTTGATTGACTTTTATATACATAAATAATATTTATTTATCTTGTTCTTGCATATAAAAAAAACTTGTTATGTAGCAAATTGTTAGCACCAATTTGAATCCATGGTCGTTATCTCATTCACTTTTAACTAAACAGTGTTTATGCACAAAAAAAGTTATGTGACTATTGGCCCCAAATTATTTATCAAAATTCATATCCCACTTCATATCTTGAATGGAAAAGCAACTAAGATAGTTAAAGAGTGAATCTTTAAGCATCAACTAAGATAGTAAAAGTGAATCCTTATGCATCAACTAATAAATCAAGAACATATTTTGTCTGATACAATGAACTGCTAATACAAGTCCTGAATCAAATGAGTAGTCACCACTACATTCACTTTTAGGAGGATGACTCACACATACAGGGAAGGGAAAAAGGGTATTCAAATGTACAAGAGATTGTATGGGATAAGGTAGGATGTGTCGTTTATCCATCCATGATGAAGAAATGATTGGATGCTTTCACTTTTTCAATGCTGCTAAGCGTATCTATGGAACTGAGGAGAGAGACCCACATTAGCATTATTTGCAATCACAATAGATTTCTGAGCAAGTGATGATGGTGGGGGATGGATAAGACACGTAATGGGTATCATTAGCCATGACCTCATCTTCTCTTCTTCTTTAAAAGCTACCATCACTTTGAAGCAAGGTACAAACATTTTAGTCATTGTTCTCTTTTACCTTCAAAAGTAACTCATGAAAAAATTGTTCTAAACCTTCTTCATATATGATCCCATGTGCCTGTGCTTTCATATAATCTTTTCATTCACTTACAATCCTATTTCCAAATCATTTTTCACCAATTTTATTCTCCAACTTTTAAAAAAATATTGTAAATTCATCCTCTAAATGACACAATTAAGAAAACTTTTCATTAAACTACAACAATTAATTAAGATAATTAATAACATTTTTTTCCTTCAAATAGTCAAAACTAAGAATTGGCCTAATGACAACAAGTTCATTGTGAGGCATGGGATGTTAAACATGGGTTTTATCTATGATTCAGAGCTTTTAGGTTTAAACATCAACGCTGGGCTCATGAAATTTAACTTCTTTTGTTTTATTCGGCCCAAACTTCTTTGTAATATTTCAGTCACTTAAACCCAAACATGCCTTAGAATACCTTTCTTATCCACGATAAATCTAATTTCTGAATTGTTTCCTACTATTATATTAATTTTTATAATTAAAAAATTCAAATAAGTTCTTAAAAATATTTAGTGTTTCATTTAAACTCTTAAAATTATTATTATTTATTTTGCTTTGTATTCAGAAAACTTAAGTCATTATGATAATCCTTAAAAGAAAAAATGAATTAATTTTAAAAATTTAAATGAAATTCTACAAAAATTCAGGACTTTGTGTTTTCTTTAATTTTATTTACTAATATAATAATAAGATATAAATTTGGTACTAAATTTAAATTTTTCTATAACGGGAACATAAGCTCCCAAGGATTATGAGTGATATGGAATTTTGCTCTCGATTCCATGGATCAACTCTCACATTTGAGATATTGTGTATTTTGAAAGTCTCGTCCGTATCGATTTTGTTCTTAAAAGACGTCTTGATGAGTGAAGAAAGGAAGATATATATATATATATATATATATATATATATATATATATATATATATAAATTATCTTGACATCAACTCCTAAGTAATGTGAAATATATAAGTGTACCGTAACATAAGTCTCTCGGTTGAGAATTAAGGGATATGAGTAGAGCGAGACTCTGCTCTCGGTTCCACTGGTAGGCGTCAATATTTTGTTTATAAATAAGAGTGTCTCGGTCTCGTATCCGTTATGATAATATTATTAAGATCAATTTCTACATATATTTTCTGTTTAGAAACTCTTCTCAATCATCATTTTATTTTTAAAAAGCGCTTGATGGATTAAGAAAATTGTGTATATAAAATATGTTTTGCCTCCCCTCCTAAACTATACATATTCAATTGATTTTCTAAAAAAATTAGTGTCCAAAATTAGTGAATATATATGTGCATAGTTATAAAACATTGTAAATATGATATAATTAAAATGCTTTAAGCTCTGCATATTCTACATAAAATAATAAATGTGTGTGTGGAAAATTCTTATATATATCTTCTGAACTGAATTCCATAGAAATGAAGTGCATGAACTGTGGGCGCAATTTCAGGAGTTTGTGGAGGAGCTGAGGACATAAACAGCTAACATGATTGGCATCCCAAAAACCAGATTGGCCATAGATACTGCAAGTGTCCCACATTTCCACCATTAATGAACAAACTTCCAAACCACTTTTTCTCTTCATTCAATGATGAATATCTTAATACCTATACACCATTCTAACCTAGGAAGTGGAGTCCATGACTTATATGCACGTATCAAGACAAGACAAACATACCCTCCAACAATTAAAATCCACTAATCTATCTCCACCCTTTTCCGAATGCATATTAGTACTATAACTATATATTCAATACCTTTTTTCCTGTTTTCTTGCCACTAAATCATATATGCTAATATATTAATTAGCATACTTGGTTAAACTAATTAAGATTAGTTGTGGTTAAGGTCTGAAATTATAGTCATGATTAGGATTTCTCGTGTTTTTGTAGTATATTTATAGGAATGAAATTGCTGTGTTTCAACTGCGGTTGTGCTATTGCAACTACAAGTTAAACATATTGGTTTAGTGATTGAAATTATTTTTTAAAACTATGGTAGGTGTGTAATTAGGAATGACCACTCAACTCATACTTGTGGAACCGACATATTCCCGTTCCGAGTTTGACGAAAAAATTCGAATTAACTGGGAGCGGGTTCGAGTTTTCTCCACTTTAAAAAGTTGGAGACGAGAATGGGTAATCATCGTCCCGACCCAGTCCTCGTTCTCATTTCAACTTTATATTTAAATTTAAATTTTAAAATATTAATATTTTAAAAGTATTTTATTTTCTGTTTGTATTACATATAAAATTAGTTTTTTATATTTCACCATTTTCATTTTTCTTCTACCCACTTTTTAATTTTTTTTATCTTTTATATTAATTAATTTATTACATTATTCTCGTTTTACCTTCTGCTTTTTCACATTTTCTTTTTCTTTTTAATCTTTTCAACCAATTTGATAAACACAAAGTTAATTTTTTTTCTTCTTTATCTTTTTCTAAATATTTTACATAAATCTTAGTAATAACTAATATTATTTTATTTATAATTTATATTTATTAAATTTTATTATGTCATAATTTTTTATCTTATTATTCTTAATTATCATATATCAAATTTTATCTTAATAAAATAATTATATTTTAAAATATTGAAAGGAATTGATAATTTAAACTTTTATTACTTCGAACTAATTAAATAAGAATTAACTTATTAAATATTTTCTTATAAACTATATATTTCATATTTTTAAATAACAACTTAAAAATGAATTAACTTATATATATAATCAAATGTTTAAATACATTATTATAATAATAATGTTATAAATATTCAAATATTTGAATATAGTGTTATAATAATAATAATAATAACATTATAAATATTCTATATATATATATATAATGATTAAATATTTCTTTTACATACATATTTTAATATAAATATAATAAATTAAAAAAATATATTTAATTAATAATAATTATAAATTATAATATTTATTTATATATAAAAAATACATAATAAAATTAATTTATTATAAATATAATTATTTTTTTTAAAATAATATAAATAAAGGATGAGAAATTTAAAACTCAACTAAGACGAGAATAGAAACTTAATTTCTAACTTTGACGGATCGAGAACGATAACAGAAATTATTAAAAAAATCGAAGGCAAAACCCGCTTCTGCCCTCCTGTTGTGATGCCTATATGTATAACGAGTTTCCTACGAAATTAAAATGAATAGAGACCAAAGTCCTTTCAATTAGTATTGTTAAAGGTCAACAAAAATGGTGCTCTACCATAAACAATGAATATGAATATTAATGTTGACTCGAAAATTAACAATGAATTAAATGGTCGGAAAAAAAAAAAGTGAAATAAGTGTAGTCTCCACGTGCCTGAGTTTTGACATAAATGTTGCAGCAAAAGAAGGGAAATATTAATTCCATGGTAACAACTTCGAATGAGTCAAAGAGGAAGAGGCGGAGGTGGAGATGGAGATGGAGAGTTTTTATAGACAAATGCTAATCAACAGAATATTCTTAAAATTTAATTACTTCATTGAAATTTATTATTTGTTATTTATTCACTTCCGCATAATTAGTATAAATTGGAGTAGTCAAGAGCAAAAATATATTAGGGTGTATTTGGTTTGGTCTCGTATTTTTTATTTTTGTTCTTATAAAACGTATATAAAATAAATTGATAAAAAGAAAAGGAAAAAGGTACCAAATTAAGGCGTCGATGAGGGAAAGATGAACATGTGGAGTCATAATTGGTGAAGCACTGAGTCAGCTGAGGTAAATTGCAAAGACATCAGTATGTCCACGTGCCATCACGTGTATCTCCAAATACCAAATCATATTAATTAATAAATTAAGTGTTATTACTTATGTAATCATGAATTCTGATTTTGGCACCTGGCTCTATTTTTGGACAATGTTGCATTGATGAACCAACCACGCATATATACCATTCTTCACCTGAATTGCCAAGTAGATATCACTATGCTTTCCATTACTTCCATATTTATAAATTTCTTCGTAACAATCTTTTTGCTTACATTTGCATAGTACAAGTAATTACTATATGTTTTTCACATGTTTAATTCTATATAAACTTCTTAATTTTGAGTGTGCAGTCTGCACATAAATTGTATAATATTATAAAGCTTACTATTTTATTACATATATTATAAACTTGTTAAATTTAAAATATTTGCAAAACTTTTGTTACCCTTTAATTAAAGATTATTAAATGTGTTAGTTGGTGTATCTATATCCCGTTATTAAGACTTGTTGTAGGTATTAGATTAAATAAAAGTAATATTATTGAAGAAAGATGATATGATATTAATTGAAAAGAGGAAAAACATTTAAATGAATCAATACAAGTCTCTAAATGCAACCAACGTCCAACGCTGGTCACTACGACTACCATTTCCGCAACGTCCACCTACATCTGCAATACAAATTACTACTACACTTTATCTGAAATATTTTTTCAATTATTTTTTAATTACTCATATATTTAATAGTATTTATGAATCATTAAAATACAATTGATTGCTTAATTAGTGGTGCATACCCATAAACGGATACACCCCACGCCACGCCCTAAAAGTTACTCTAGTTTCTAGTTTAGTATGATGGCATGGGTAAAGAGGTTCATGATGTACTTATGCTAATCTTATCTTATGTAAGAAAAGTCATGTTATGTCCCAAGCTTCGTGCCAAAAAGTAAACTCCCTATATTACACGTATATCTACATTTTTGGATCAATTATGAGTAATATTAGACTTCTCAAATTTAGATCTTTTGTTCTTGTAGTTCATCAAATTGATGTAAGGGATAATTCCATAACATCGCATAACTTCACAGGGGAAATCAAACTATATGGTCTCAGTAAAATCTAAATGATTAGGTATTATTCTTAAAGATACATTAAAATTTGTCGTGTAAGCGTATTCAATTGCGTAAATTTCCCAATTTTTCATTACGGGACATGATTCTTCTTTGTCAACAACTTGTGTAAACTACTTTATATTATTACTTGTTTGGAACGCAATGGCTTTTTAGCTGTTTATTCAATTGGAGACTCTAAAAGATTTTCCTCTTTAAATTTAATGAAGTTAATTAACTGAAGTCGATGGATGCTTGATTATATTTTGAAGCGGAGCGGAATGTTGGGTTTTTGCTTCTAAAATACGAACTGATTTACTCAATGATTTCGCAAGTGAGAACCCAGATGTAATACAGTAATTATGAGTACATTATCTGTTATATACTTAACAATAAATCATGATTTTGAGTTTGATGATTGGTCTATTCCTCATAATGTGAGTATTTTGTTAGTTATATTGGAAACTTGATCGATGATAGTAAGGTACCAACATTTGGGCTATCTATATTTAGAAGAATATGAATTTCGATCTGAACATACATGGTGAGTTAGTTGTACGCAACCGAGTGGTTCCTTTTAGTTTGGTCCCTTTGTATATAAAAACACTTTCTTTCTTTACTTTTCTCCCTCCATTTACGCTACTTGGCCCACCCCGTGTGTGTGTGTGTGTCTGAACTCCAAATCTAAAAGCAGTTCCCTTTCTTCTTCTTCATCCTCTTCTATTCAACCATTTGAATATCCACACAACACAAAGGTAATTCGTCCTTTATTATCTTTTGTTTTTTTTTAACTAATTCCTGACACTTGTTTCTTTTCCTCGTATCTCCGTGTAATTGCTGTGTGAAACAGATTAACTAAAGCAAGAGAAGCATGCGTTTTGTTTTGTTGTAGGTAAAGGAAGGGGTGAGATGTTTTGGGGGGCTTTGTAGTGATCATGGGTTGTGCGAGTTCGAAGCAAAAACGATGTCGGCGTTGCAATGCTCCTTATTCTCCTGCTCCAAGAAGCTACTCAATGCATGTTCATCATCCACCTCAGGCACAAGGTGATAGCTACCATGTTGTGGCACTCACTTCCACAACATTGGGCACTCTCAAAGTCAATTCTCCTGCTGCAACTCACAATTTTGCTGGGAATTGTGACCACGATTTCAGGCTTTTCAATGGTAAGATTGGTAATGCTGAAAGTTTCAGGTTTGATAGTGAAAGCTTTGTCCATAGGTCGGAGGAAAAAGAGAAGAATGAGGTATTGGAGAAGGAGAAAAGAGAAGAGTTCTCAATGGGGCTGATTGAAGCCAAGACTTGGTCTAGCATGATTGAACAAAAGTTGCCAAAAGTTTTTCCCAAGACCCCAATTAGAACACCACCTGGTGAGCCTGAGACAATCAACACATGGGAACTCATGGAAGGCCTTGAAGACACCACCCCTTTCCGGTCGCCGAGCCACTTCCGGAGCTTCTCCTTTGATGTCAATGGTGATGATGTTGGTGATGATGATCCACCCAAAAAGAGTGTTGTTGCTTCTCCAAAACCCATGTGGCTTCTGATGACTGAGGAGGAATCAAAACTCAATCCTGCAATCTCAGATTTTGATCCTGAAGTGATTTCCTCATTCAGGAAGTCCTTGCAACAACTCTCTCCAGATAGTCCTTTCCACCTTCGACCGGCAGGGAGTGATGAAGATATTCAAGGGACTAAAAAATGGTCCTTATTTGAGGAAAATAAAACGAAAGGCGATGACGTTGATGATGTTTTTGTGGATGAATTGAAGGTTGATAATCCATGTGGGAAGGATAAGGTGGTGCTGTACTTCACTAGCTTACGCGGCGTGCGAAAGACTTATGAGGATTGTTGCCAAGTGAAATTGATTCTGAAGGGATTGGGAATGAGGGTGGATGAGAGGGATGTGTCTATGCACTCTGGGTTCAAGGAGGAGCTTAGAGAGCTACTGGGTGATGGGTATGGTGGTTTAGGATTGCCAAGGGTATTTGTTGGAAATAATTACATTGGTGGAGTTGAGGAAATTCAGAGGCTTCATGAGGATGGGAAGCTTGAGAAGCTTTTGGGTGGTTGTGAGAAGATTGAGGACAGTGTTGGAGGTGATGGAGGGGGAGTGTGCGAGGCTTGTGGGGATATAAGGTTTGTTCCTTGTGAAACCTGTTGTGGAAGTTGTAAAATTTACTATGAGGGTGATGAAGATGAAGAAGAATATGTTGATGGTGAGATGGGGGAGTGTGGATTCCAGCGATGCCCTGATTGCAATGAAAATGGACTAATTCGTTGCCCCATGTGTTGCTGTTAGTTCCCAATTCCGGGTGACACTTACAAGAGGTACTGAAACATAATTTTGAGTTTTATTCTTCAGGGCATTTTGTACTTTATGAAATTTTGTTGTACAAAAAATGTTTTTTATGTGTTGGATACTAGTGAGGAGTGAATAACGTGTTCACATCACTCCCTCTGCATAATCAGTGTAGTTTGCTACATAGTGTATACTTTTCATTTTTCTTTTGTATACCATTGCCTTTCTTGCAAAATCAAGAAGAAATGCAAAAGAGAATTATAATGTTATTTGGTATCATTTACATTCTTTCCCTCCATAAAGTGTCTTTATTATAAATTTGAAGATGTAATGTTTGAAAGTTATTGCATGGGAGGCTTTGAAGCCTTTCAAGCCTAGAGTTGAACCTTCCCTAAGCTAATTGTAAAATGCACTTAAGGGTGTGGGGTTGTGAGCTCGATGCAGATGTCATGCTTGTCATCTTTTTGTTATCAAATGTTGACTACTTCACGAGTTAAGACGTAATGGCTAGCACATCATTTCTAGTCCCTGATTATATTGGATACAATTGATTGGTTACCGATAAATGAACCTTGAAATATTTTTAAAAATTTGAAGTAATTTATTCATTCACTCTCTTCGTTGATGGCTTATTTTATAGTACTGTATTTGTTTTGAACTGATTGGTTTCTAAAGCATTCTTGCAAGTTTTAGTGGGGGGTATAAAATAGCCTCTTAGGTGGACACAGTCTAGGTCAACTTTGGCAAGAGACTTTTGATTGAGTCAAATCATGTTTATCTGGATGGCAAAGCACTATATTCACATGTGAACTTATCTCAACCTAGTGGACGATTTCTTTTAAAACCTACATAACATAACAGTTGAAAATATAAAGTTTCTTTGAAATTAAAGAAGTTTCAAAAGCAATACACAGGTAGATGTTTATTTCTTTTATTCTTCTCAACAATTTAAGTCAGAGATTTGGTTTTTGGCTTTCAAGAATATTCCTAGAAGAGATTAATCTATCTAATTACCACCAAACACCTAAGATAATGACTTTTCTAAATGTTTTTTTTATACACGTACAAAATTTTAACTTCACTTGAATATAGAGGAATTTAAGACCATTTGCTTTGAATTATATATAATCTGTGCAAGAAAATGACAGTGCATGGTCCAGATTGTCCAACACTTGACACCAAGAAACACGAAGTTTGACTTCAGGTTTCATCACAGCATCTCTCCAAAGAGGCTGTGGAAAATTGGAAAAGGGCATTTAGATTTTTCTTGGTTGATCATTAAGGGGCGGTGCCATATTTGAGGCACCCTATAATGTGAAATAATTACAACAATTCTTAGGTTCACGATTAGGACTGCATGTGGTGCCATTGACAAAATAATGCACCACTAAGGAACGCCTGAATGATACAAATGATCTGTGCCAAAGAAGCAACATCTTTTTTTCCTTACCTACTTATGTCCTTTTTTAATCATCTTCATATGTTAATGCAATCAATGGGCCTAGATGCAAGAAAATCCCGATAAGCTACATGTCCCTTGCCGTCCAATCAAGATCACAACACATTTAGGTGGTTAGAGGTAGATGACAACTACAGTACTGAAATTGTTGTAAATACCAATAGCTTATTTATGTGGAGAGCAGTGTTAGATGTAGAGTACACAAATGATAACATTATTTTTCTCATGATTTCATAAAAATCACCTAACATTGTCAGTGACCCCTACCCATCAAACAGTTTTGATTTAAAAGTGATCTATGCATCATCACAAAAGGTGTAGTACTAGATTGGAGTGAAAAATAATTACTCAGTAACTTCACATTCACAAACTGTTTTCCTCTGTTTTGTTATTGTGTTCTTGGCATGTTAATCCATAGGGAAACTCGTTATACCTTCTAGTGAAGAGTAAAGTTATTTATATATATTTAAAAGCCTGCAGAATATGAATGAAAAAGTTTACACTAATATCATTACTAAAGAAAAGAGGCCATGTATGAAAAAGAAACCAACCACTACCTGGCTTTGATGGTATATTAAGTATTGCAACCATGACATTGTCGTAGGAATACAAAAGGAGAAGACACACTTTGACAGTACCCATTCAACAAACCAAACCCACAAGCCAATCCCTCACGGATACATCAGATATGTAATCAATGTGCACATAACAAAAACTGAAAAGAATGGATAAATGTGGTTACATTTTCGTATTGACACGGTATAAGGGCCAACGAGAAATGGTACACTTAAATAATTGAGATCAATGCATGTAAGTTATTATTATTGGACCAAAGTAAGTTGGCTACGCAAAACAGTGGTTGGATCGTATAGAGAATGATAAATTGTTTAAAAGCATAACAATGAAGTTGGCAGGGGATCAATTACAGCATACAAATATTGAAAGTAGTTCACATGTTATAATGTAAATTGTTGGTTACTTACATTTTGATAGTAACAACCGTGGGTTGTAGACATCGTGAAAAGATTGTTGATGCAACAAATTTTCTGACACCTAAAATTAATTACTTGTTATGGAGGAAGCCAAGAAATGTCTATTTTGCGTCTTTCTTGCAACAGCATTTGGCTAAGTGATTTCTCTCTGAACAATTCAGCATCTGGTTGCAAGTGCATTCTTTACTACAGTAATCTTTGTCTTTGTCTGATTAACTTGAGTTTATATATTTAACAAATGTGGTAGAACAATGAGACACCTTCAATAATGCCAAACTTAGTGTTAATAACATGTTTGAACCGCTAACAGAAGTTCATTGTTGAGCATCACTCAGATCACTGTTTAAATGTGTCCATAGATTAGGAATTAAGCAATGGCTGAGACTTACTTGTTATTTATCTGTAGTATAAATAGAAATATTTTTGTAATCGTTCATCATCTTTTATCTTATGACCATATTAAATGGGTATGACTTGCGTCCCCAAATCACACGCATGCAATTTTATTTAGTCACACGCAACCACTCAACTAGTGTTTAGACGCTAGGAAATCTCCCTAAAAAAGGGTTACTATTAGCTAATTAAGAGATATTTTAAGAAAAACACTGTTTCCACCGAAATTAATACATCTCAAGAATGCCCTTAATATAAGTTTAGGCTCATTGATATGTAAGTAAACAATAAGAAAATTGGTAGTTACAATGTCATATTTTATAAAACGGTACACAAATAAGTGGCTGCTTACCATGGATTCTCAAAAACTACTGATATGAACATTTGCACCAGATGAGTAGCCACACATGTAAAGCAAGTTCAGGCCTTATAAAACAGTATCAACAAACAAATGATGCTATTTGTTTGTGTCCAAGAACTCAACATATTAGACAGCAGTTTTTGCTTGGAGTTTCATTTCTTTTCATTCTGACCTAAATCAGCGGCTGCTTTGGCTGCACGTGTCAACATATCTGAAACCCAAAGAGCACCTTTGGCAAAGTAGCTACTGTTGGCTATAGCACTTCCAGCTGCCACAGCAGCTTTCCCAGTAACTGATGCCACAACTATAGCTGTAGTTCCTGTCACTGTTGCCGCTGATTTGGTGAAGTCTGTGACATGATACTTCTCATCCACAGATTTAAAAGTTTCAATGCCTGAATTAATGGTATCAGTCAACCCAATTTTATTGCTGAGTTCAGCAACCTTCGATGATGCTATAGATGACACATTATGAGATTCATCAAAGGCTTTTGCCATGACAAATGCATCTTTACCCAACACATATCCCTTAGCCACCATTGTTTTGACAACCATCTGAGCCAGAGTTAGTGCCTCTCCAGGGGAAGAAACAAACTTATCAATGTGAACATCCTGTCAATGAAAACAACCGTTGACTTAATCAATTATTGATCTCCAACAGCATCTACCTACGTAAGTCCCTATTTACACTTTGGAGGTGAATTGTCGTGAATATTTTAGGATAAGTAGGGCTTTGCTACCACATTCTTTTACTTTTTTATGCAAATCAAGGTACTATGTAAACTGCTATTTTACAGCAAGAAAAGTGGTAAATCAAAATAGAAATCCATAAAGCCAACTTCAAAGTGCATTAGACCTACCTCACTAAACTCATGGATTTACCATATTCTACACTCCATGAACTAAAATAAATGACTATACCATTAACTAAGTTACTCCAAAGAATGAAAAGACGTAAGTAAAAAGAAAGAACACAGTGCTTGACATCTATCTTAATCAAATCATGTAAGAATCACTATATTCTTCAGTACATGAAAGGCAAGCCAGAAATTTCCAGGTTGAGAAGTATTGAGACATTCTCATGGATTTGAGTTGCATTCATACCTTTCTCTGTTTTTTAATCGCTCTTTCTTTCCATGGAGAGAATTATATGCGTGAAAAGTCTCTAGGAGACATGAAATACTAGTTACATATGAAAAAAATCCAATTATCCAAAATATAAATTCCTATTTGGCTTAAGGGAAAAAAAAAATCACCAAAAATTACAATAAAAATAATGTCAATTTATTTTCACGTTACTTCAGTTCTCCAAGAAACATAGAATAAAATGTGATATTTTTTATTAGTGAAAACATAAAAAAATAATAGCAAAAAACATCTCCGTGAACAAAATAGACCATGAATTCCCCACAGTTGATATTGAACCATATTTCAGAAAAACAAAGACAATCACTCCCCAGGTTTCAAATAACTGCTAATTATTTTTCATAATAAATAGCTTTCTATGCTTAAATCAAAGGGTGGGAGAAAAAAAAAACTAGCATGGTTTATGAATATTTTTTTAATATGCATAAAAAACATCTTCTGTCACTCTAGTCTAACTAAAAGAAACAGACCATTCTAAAGATTTGAGGCATACTTGTGAGGTTGTAATACTGTCTTCAGGCTTTGATACATGACCGCCCCAATTATCATAGTCATTTATGTAAGCTTCATAGCGTGAAATGAATATACATTGATCCAATATCATTGATCCCTGAAAACAACATTGAACCAAATATGCAGGTTAGTAAACAATAGTCAAGTGAGATCAAATGAACAATGCAACATCACTTAAAAAATTATTCTTCTGCAAAATGAGAGCATGAATTTGATCTAAGAGGTTCAAGTAATACAATATTTCAGCAACAAATTTTCTCTAATGCAATGTAATAAAATTTCGTATATAATTATCTTTTATCATCCTTACTAAAGGTGTTAAGAAAGGACATGATGCAATAATGGTACTCATCATTATCTACATTCTGAACTCGAATACATCTTGAAACAAAATACAACATTTGCCCCATCAGAAGATAAAAGAAAAACGGATAAAGCGAGACTTCAAATTCATCTTGCACTGCATCAGTAAAGCAAACGACCATCGTCTATTTCACACTATGAAGTATAAACATTATTGACAAGGACACGAGCAATGGGACAATCCAAATAATAGAAGTTGTAGATAACGAACTCAATCTTTGTTGTGTGTGTTCTTGTTTAAGAATGGCCATATCTATGCTATGACTCAACCTATCAGGGAGATAACAATAATACTAACAACTTATGGATGTACTTTGGATCTGTTATTATCACTGTGTCAGATGTCCTGCACACAGATGTGGCACCAATATGGTGTGTCAATGTGTTATATAGATTACATATCTCAAGCATAATTATGAGAAACAAATGAAGGAAATTGCTGTATGTTTCGTCAATCCATGATATCCTACAACTAGAGGGTAAGGAAGTAAGAGAATAAGCAACTTACATTCAGCAATAGTGCAGTTTCCAAGGCATAAGCATCCCGATAAGTCACATATGCAGTAGATGCATTTTCACCAGATCTATCATGACAAAAAAAAACTATTATTCTTGTTGTTTACAAGAAACCTTGATATTGTTACAAGAAACCTTGATATTGTAATTACAAAGTCGCCTAAAAATTCTATCCTTTAGGCCCTGCAACTTGCAAGCATACAATCTTTCTATTAACCATACTGAGAAATAAAGTAAGACATTTTTAACATCTTCCAAATATTCGATCCAAGCATGCTAATTGCTATTGATTGATTAGAAAGAATACATGACAATAACATTGTAGAAGTAGAATTTATAGCTCCCATAAAATTACTCTAACAATAAGTAATGTGAAAGCTGTGGAAAATTTTATCCAATTCATAGTCGAAACCAAAAACTCCGTTTACAAAACAGTAAAATTACACTGCAAAAAGTTCAATCTAATTTATTTCCAGATGAAGAACTGTTTAACCAGTTGATATTATATAAAATAAGGTTGAAATAAACTGAAATCTGGAATCTATCAAATATGAAGTTTTCGACACAGAATAAACAATCAAAACAACATTTTTCTTACAATTACCTAAGTCAGAGACTGTGTAACATACTAGATTTTCCACATCTGTCACATTGTCTTATGACTTGTCACAAATATTTCAACTGCTGTCGGGAAGGATTAGGGAGTAGTATTGGTGAAGCACAATCACCAAAAGGAAAATGAAGGTTCTGATTTTTTTTGGTCATGTCATTATGTTTGTAGTCCACCATGCTAATCTGAGTGAGGGGCTCATTAACTCATACATTTATCCTACCTATCAAAAGGTTCAATTTTGATAGACAGAAATTTTACCAGTAAAAGTAACATTACCTTATTATTTCAACATGCTCAATTAGACCACAATAAGCAAAAAAATTGTGCACATCATTCTCTGTTGCTCTTGGAGATAAGTTTGTAACAAGAGCAGTGTAACCGTCAGTATACATACTTGTCAAGTGACTCAATCTCAAAAGGGAAAAAATAGGAGCAGGTTCAACAAATCTGCAGAAAGCAAATCAAATAAAAAATTTGATAACTTTATAGAGGAAAAGAGAGTGAGCCTCTAAGGATTATTCATGTAACGTAGGGAACTGATAGTGGGAATAGGCTTGCCTTTCCCTTTGATCGCTCCATTAACAAGACCATGCATTGGTAGAACAAACAATGAAGATAAGCAAAACTACACTAAATGATAGAAAACATTATCTATCATTCATTAGCATTCACTTCATCCTCAAGATATTGTAAATTCCAAAATATTTTGGTGGTCCCCAACAGATATCAGCCTCAATTTTAACACACAGGACTTTGCCACAGATCACATGACTATCGTTTGAATTGTTTTATTTATTAATTTAGCACAAAAATGAGAATGAAGCAGGCCCATCAACTAAAGACAGAATTTTTTTTTCACACTCAAGCAACATGTGGAAACAAATCCGACTCAATCAAATTCTAAAATGTTAAACTGAATTTGGATAGTATGAAGAATCACCACAGCAAAACTTACAGCATCAATCAAAACCGTTTAAAATAAACTGCTTTGATCCGCAAAAGAGACAGAACAAGAAAATAAAATAAAATAATTGAACAAAGACGACATCAATATGGGAAAACCAAAGAAGTTGCAGAAAACTATAAACAAAATACCATAAAAAGATTTAAACTGGTTAGATGTTTTACCTGACAGTTCTTGTCGACGAACTGAAGCAGAGGAAAAATGAGAGAGAGAGAGAGAGAGAGAGAACGTGTCAGCAGATAATGAATCCAAGGTGGATTTGTTTGGTTTTATGATTGTAGTAATGGAAAATGATAATCTTGTGGAATATTTGATTGTAGATATTATTAAACAATAGATATTTATTTATTTTTCCTGAGAAAACAATACTTTAGTTCTTCACTATTAAATATAGTAATAATTATTAACGATATTTACTTTTAATATCATTAAATTAATTAATTAATTCGAGTTTCAATATTAATTTTTGAGATAGAATAAATTTGACAACTCTGATTAATTTATTTCTTAAATTTGATAATAATAGCTAATAAATAAATTTAATATCTGAGAAAAAACAATTGATTTATGGTAATAAGTTAAAATGATTGATAGTTGACAAAATCTCTCTCTCTCTCTCTCTCTCTCTATATATATATATATATATATATATATATATATATATATATATATATATATCGATATTGATAGTTATTAAATTTAAAAATACTAACTTGAGTTGTAACTATAGTTTTATAAACTAATTTAATGCTTGACTCCAAATATACTTATTGAAATTTTAAAATTTTAATTTAATGTAAAGTAAAAAATGTGTAAGTTTCATTAAAGCGACTTATGTTTTTTAAATAAATAATAAAAATATTTGTAACTAATGCTAAAAAAAAAAAAAATAATACTTTATATTTATTTTTTTAAATGAACTGAGCAATATATTGCATATTAATAATTTAATACCTTTAATTATTGTTCAAATAATTTATTAAAGTTTAGGGACCATAGAAAAAAAAAATTGTGTATTATTTTTTGTCGTAAGAGAGAAAACAAATATTTTTCTATTTTTTTAATCATAAAATTCACTTAATTACACCTTTTTTTCCTTGAAATTTTATCTCATATTTATTTCTCTTCAATCAATTATAATTTTATCAAAAAATATTTATATTTTAAATTAATATATACATAAAATTATAATAAATTAAAATGTAAAACATAGTAAGAATACGGATATACATGTCTTGAGCAACTGGTAATTGATAATAAAAATTAACAAATGGGTTATTAGTATTTTTTGTTTAATCACTCTGGCGCGTGATATTTGTTGTTGTCATTCGAGCGTGAAGGATAAAGTTTGCCCAATTGATTCTTCATGATTTATAATATAGTTGGTGGCAAAGATCATTGCAAAAGCAAAGTCGGTAGCAAAACGATAGCTTTATTCTGCGTTTCATTTTGGGCGTTATCTTTTTGGAGATACTCTTTTTTAACGTATAATTTATATCTTTTCAACCAAACATATGAAAATTTTCTTCATTTTCAATTAATTTTTTAGAGACGATGTTGACTAATTCAAAAAAATTTATGTTTATGAAGGAACGTAATTAAGATACAATCCCTACTTCTACTAAAACTACACTATTTTCATCTCATTTTTATTTGACATTATGTCAATATTTATTTTATTTTTAATATTATATTAGAAAATATGCTGGTTTCTTTTTAATTATTATTTCAAAAATATATATTTATTATTTGTAAATTTTAAGATTATACTAATTGTTTTTTATTGTTTATATTTAATATAGAAAAAAATATTGTGAGTAATTTAACAATGATATTAATTATAAACAAGTTATAATAAATTATAAAATTTAATATTTTTCTGGATTTATGCAGTCCAATACATATATTAAAAAATATAAAATATAATTTTTATTTTTTATACCTTTCATAGTTTGATGTGGAGTAATATATATATATATATATATATATATATATATATATATATATATATATATATATATATATATATATATATATATATATATATAAGAGAATTGATTTAATACAAAGATAAGAGATATTCTTAATTTCTTATGTTTATTTGATACTTTGATTGTGTTTTTATTTTTTCTTAATTTATATCTGTTTCGTTTACTGATTTGACTTTTGATCAGGAGTCACAACCTCCACCCAATTGGAACCACCACGAGACACCAAACGAACCACCGCATTTTTGGGTTATTCCCACAATTTGTGGACTCAAACTTTAAAATTTGATCTGGGCCGAGTGATAACAGCTAGTCCAGCACCATAATTTTTGGATCACTGCATGATTGATTACTCCCAAAAACATGAATGGACCCATTCATAAAGATAATAAGAATTTTAATAATATACCTCCATTTTATATTATTTTAAATATGCTTATATATTTCACCTGTTTTTGAACATTTTAATGAATGATCCAAAAAAGTTGCAGAACTCTGACCAGGAGTTCACGACCTCTTCTGATCCTACAGATGTGCATGAATTCATTTGTTACTAACAAGAAAAGGAGAAAAAATGTGTGGAGTAATTTGAATGGGAGGGAGCAGTAGAAGGAAAGTGAAAAGGTTAAGCAGTAATGAATGTAAAAATGAAGGCGTTTATGATTGGAGGACATGGAAGGTGGGAGCCATGGTGCAGTGGAGGACAGATGATGGAACAAGCTGAGGCTGTGTGTGTTGTTTTGTTGAGAAAGAAGGATTATCCTTCAGAATGCCAATGCCAATGTTTGTACGGCCTCTTTAATTACTCACTCTGACACACTCACATACACACTCATCTTTGTCTGTACCCTCTCTTTAATTACCACCATACTATCACACGCCCTCTCCCACACCCATCATTCTTCATCCTCCCAACCCTCCCTTAAATTACCTTCTTTGGCAATCCACACTACACCCTGCACACATCTATTCTCAAGGAAAAACTTTAAAAGATATATTCATTTAATCTAATAATGGGAAGGAGTGATGTGGGGGAGGAAAGATTCTCTTGCAGAAGAGAAGACTCTTCCTAGTTCTTGCGGTGGCAAAGGGAAGAAGACCTGTGATGGAGGAAAAGGTGTCATGAATATCACCAGGGTAGATGACATGACCCAGAAACACTGCTATAAATAAGACTTTTAATGATGTAGTTTTACAATTAACATAAACACATGCCACAGTTAGATTCTTACATATAAAATGTTTTCGTTTGAGTTTTTTAGGGCATAATTATCATCACATTCTCTACATCACCGTTGCAAATACTATATACAAGATCTGGAGACTCCATTGCATTTACCAACACCATCTATATACAAAATCCATATAGGTTTTTACATTTTCCTGAACTCAAAACCCATTTAAAAATAATATGTTATTCTTTGATGATTATATCATGACAGAAAAAATAAAGGTTATAAACTATTATAATAAGAAGAAAAATAAATAGCATGATAATTGTAGTAGAAACCTTGAAAGTGTGATGGATTTTTTTAAATCATAAATGTAAATTACTTGTACCGTTAGAAGAAAAAGAAAATGCAAAATGTTTAAAGTAAAGAACAAGAAAAAAAAATGAATATGAGAATTGAAAAGTGCATGAAAATGAAGGAAGCCTAATTGAATCAAACCGAAATGTGTGAAGTTGCGGAGAAGACGAACTGGAGACGTCGATGACCGTGAGAAAGATGAGCAATTAATATGATAAAAAAAATCACCCTTTTACTTGAAGAAGATTTTCTATTTCAATTTTAATTTTAATCAACATAATAAATATTTATTAAGAATTTTAATATTAAATTGACAGTGCTTATTATATCTTATTAAAATTTAATTTATTGTGACAATTATAGATAAATTAAAACTATTATAATAAATCGTTCTTAAAATATTTTTTTTATTAGTGGAAGAACGTAGACTTTGTAGTCACTTCTTAGAAAATGAATGCCAAAGACATAGGGGAGGGAAATTTTGTATCATGGAGGTGAGAAGAGATTAGGAATTAGTATATAGCAAAAATGAAAAAAAAAAAAATAGGAATTGGTACAGAAAAATGGGAAAAAACAATAAGATGTTCTGTAATAAATGATTATCACATATTATAGTGTATATATACATATTACATCTATTTTTATTATCTTAGTAACATGTACATGTTACATTAATCTGTGTCTTCTTTTATCTACAAATATATTACCGCTTGTTTGGAAATTTGTTAAAAAAAATATTGTATTTACAGTTTGGCTTCAAGCTATACTATTAATCTTTATAATTTTTATAAACAATAAAAAATAATCTTATGGAATATGTTTATTATTTATCTACATTTTTTCCATTTTAATTATTTGATTTGATTTCTTGTACTGGAGGGACAACATCTCTGAAGAAAATCAAATTTCAGAGCTCATCTGAAACCAATCAACTTAAAACTTAACCGCACGCCCGGTGAACGAAAAATATCATCTTAAAAGTTAAGTCACTTGTATCACTTTACACTTGGTAAAATCCCTACTTATAACTCGAAAGAAAAGTATGAATCAGCATAGAAACAGTATTTGTTTAAAGTAGAAACTAAGCATCAGAATGAAGTTATACTCAAACAGGATAGGAAAACAAAATTTGTCTAAATATTTAAACAAAACTCTATCTCAAAGCTACTTATTAAACTAGATAATATGTGGCCACCAATATTTTTTATATAATATGGGACTACCATTTTCATACAGTCATAAGTAAACCCTATAGTTTTGTTTTTGAAAAAATATACGGTGATATAAATAGACGGCATAAAAAGCCAAAATTATAGTTACATGTTTCACTACAGTCTAAATATCCATGTACACGAAGTTCAAAATTTCAGTTATTTGACTTTGAATTGAAT